GGCTCCAGATGTGCATGAAGTTTCTTCCCTCCCTGCCTGGGCACCAGACTTTTTACAGTACTCACTGCCTTGTACGCAACTAACCTTGTGAAGAAAACAATTTTTAAAACCCTGGAAGCTAATGGTACAAGACCATTTAGCACTGAAATAAATGCAAGTTCTAGAACATCTGCAGCCAAAATGAAAGTAAATAATGACAGAATGTGAGTCATGAGTAGTTTGCAAAGCTTGTAAACAAAGCATCCTCCTAAATTCAGAGCCAGGCCTGAGAGTTGGGTACCAATTAATCAGCCTTTAACTCTATCACACACAAAAGGACACATGTCCTCATTAGCAAGCCATGAGGGGAACTTAGCTAACTGGTTGTCACTTTATTATCTGGAGTTCACTTAAAACTGAAATAAAAAGCGTATCCCCCAAAGCACAAAGCACTCATTCTCACTTGGTTTGAAATAATCACTTCACTGCTAGTGTCAACATGAAGCTTAACATCCACTGGGAAAGGCAAAACAATCCCGCTCGTAAGCTGAAGAGATGAGCCCAACCAGCCAGGAATGTCCCTTCCATCCCTCACCCAGGGGCTGGTCACTTTCTTTCTGATGGTAGTTGTTGGTGCAGACCTCACATCCTCTCCTGGCCAGTTGCTCTCCAAGGGCAGGGTTAATGCCTCATTCTTTCATCCCTGACATTCCCGTGTCTAGTATGTGGCCTGGATGTAGTAGGTGCACATTAAACATCTGTCGTGTGAGTGGATGAACATCTTTCCCAAAAGGCCAGTGTTCACCCCATCCCTAGACTTCCCGGGGCTCCTGTCTGGGCAGAGGATGGACCAAAAAGGGATCTGGGTCAGGAGACAGAAGGTTTGGCTCCCGTCACAGACTCTGCCACTCACAAGCACATGCTCATGTGAGTCATGTCATCCATTTTGGTGTTCCCATCTCTAAAACAGGAGGAATACCTGTCCCCCAACTTTTTAATGTTTTGTGATGATGCAATTGGAAAGAAGCACTTGGAAAGGGGTTCCACAATTGTGATGTGATTCCCTTCACACCTCAGAGGAGGGTTCTGCAATTGAGAAGGCAGGACAGTGCAGGACCACGGTTAGAAATGGAGCACAACTTACTCTCAGAAAGCCGGTAGGTAAGCAGAGTGGATCTGGAGGTATAATGAATGACTGCAAAATCACAGAAGACAAGGCCACCTAGGCTGTGCTCTCTGCACATGGAAACTAGAAATCAGAGTACAAACTATGGAGCCAGCTGATAACAGAAATACGGGAGTGGCCTGCTGTAAGGCAGTAGGGAATGGTGAGGCCTGTGGCCAACTAGAGTTTATATTCATGCTCTGCCTCAGGCATTTGCAAAAAGATTTAAAACTTACACCCCCTGAAACAGCAAAATGCATCTATGGCCTGCTGGCTGGGAGTCTGAGACCCCTGCCGATGATTGTATTAAGCATGTCTTTTTTTTTTTTTTTCAAATGGAGTCTCACTCTGTAGCCCAGGCTGGAGTGCAGTGGCGTGATCTCGGCTCACTGCAATCTCTCCCTCCCTGGTTCCAGCAATTCTCCTGCCTCAGGCTCCTGAGTATCTGGGATTACAGGTGTGTGCCACCACACTGACTAATTTTTGTATTTTTTAGTACAGGCGGAGTTTCACCATGTTGGCCAGGCTAGTCTCGAACTCCTGACCTCAGGTGATCCACCTGCCCCAGCCTCCCAAAGTGCTGAGATTACAGGCATGAGCCACCGCAGCCTGGCCACAAGCATGTCTTTTTATTCCAATGCTTTGACACCTGGGGCCTTCCCGACACTGGAGAGACTGCCCTTCCCAGGCAGGGCCCCCTAATTCCTAGAGATGGTAAACAACTAGAGTGTGCCTTTCATATGCAAAGCAACCAATCCAGAGCATGTAACCCAGATGCCTCCTTGATCAGCCTCTCACACTGTAGCCCACTATCCATCTGCCCTAAGCACCCCAGGGGCTGGCCAGACAACTGGGGACAGTCCCTATACACCAGAGCCTGCTGAAATGACTCAAACCAGCCCATCTGAAACCTGTTTACCCTGCTTACCTTTTCCAAAGAAACCACAGTAAAGGTTCTTGCCCACGTTTTCCCCCGGGCTGCCTCCTGACCCTGGCGCTTCCCCTACACGGCCCTGCATGATTACCGCGTGCCCCCTCTGCTTAGGAACTGTGAGTAACAAAGCATCTCTCCAATGGCAGTTGTCTCCTGACCTGTTGGCCTCATTAGGCCTGAATAGTAAGAAAACCTACATTTTCATACATCTGTAAACCCTGCTGGAGCAGAGATCATCATGGCCACTTTATTTCCCCCAGTGAATCTTGGCACCTAGCACAGTCCAGGTACATTGAAGACACAATTTCTTCTTCTTTTATGTTTTTTTTTGAGACAAAGTTTTGCTCTATCACCCAGGCTGGAGGGCAGTGATGTGATCTCAGCTCTCTGCAACCTTTGCCTCTGGATTCAAGCGATTCTCCTGCCTCTGCCTCCTGAGAGGCATGCGCCATCATGCCCAGCTAATATTTGTATTTTTAGTAGAGATAGAGTTTCACCACGCTGGCCAGGCTGGTCTCAAACTCCTGACCTCAGGTGATCCACCAGCCTTGGCCTCCCAAAGTGCTGGGATTACAGGTGTAAGCCACCATGCCTGGTTGAAGACACAATTTCAAACTAATCGATGAATGGGTGGACATAGGGATGAAAGCAAAGGGCTGGGCAGAAGCATCTATTTGGCTACGTGGATCCCCCTCACGTCTGCAATTGCTTCAGGACACTAAGCTCTGCACATGCCTCAGTTCTGCAGCTGGCATAGATGCAGGCAACCAGGCAGGAGCCAGCCAAAGGGAGTGGCACGAGTTCACGCTGGTAGGTGTAAGCGGTACTTAAACTCTGAGGCTCACCACCCCGCTGGCATTCAGCTTTTCAGGCAGCTCCTAAGTCGGGGGTGGGGGCAAGGCTTTTCTTTTAATGGCCAGTCTTCTGGCTAACCCTGGCTATTTGCTTTACTCAAACTCTTAGAAAGAGATGGCCATCTCAAAGCGTTTCTGTACCCATTGATAAAAGGGGAAAAGTCAGAGAGAGACCTCCTAGGCCACCTTCAGTCTCTGGCACCTGCCCACGACAGGCTCTACAAAGGGAGACAATCAGGTCATCCCAAGCCTCCCTGTGTCTGCAGTGGTGCAGTGGGCTGTCCCCACATCCCTGAATAACCGAACTGCATCGGTTAATAAACTGAGCTGAGCTAGAGAACCTGTGTGGCTTTTAATCTTTACTCTTTAAAATGCATCAATCTAGCCAGGCGCGGTGGGATTACAAGGTGTAATCCCAGCACCTTGGAAGGCTGAGGGGGCGCATCGCTTGAAGTCAGAAGTTTGAGATCAGCTTGGTCAACATGATGAAACCCCGACTCTACTAAAAATGCAAAAATTAGCTGGGCATGGTGGTGGGTGCCTGTAATTCCCGCTACTCAGGAGGCTGAGCCACAAGAATCGCTTGAACCTGGGAGATAGAGGTTGCAGTGAACTGAGATCATGCCACTGTGCTCCAGCCTGGGCAACAGAGTGAGACTCCGTCTGAAAAAAATAAAAAATAAATGCATCAATCTGCTCTGTTCTGCTTGAAAATGAATTGAATTTCTCTGATCATGAGGCCCTTGGGTGTCATTCTCAGCATCACCATCTCCTTCCCAGGTTCTGGAAACAGGCAGAGAGAAGACAGGCATAGAGTAGGCCTGTCTGGGAAGCACCTGAGGAGGGTGGAGAAGCCTGTGTTTGCTGTTTCTGATGAATGCCATTGGCTTATTTAGCGCTCAGCAGTGAATAGCTCCCTGAAAGCCATCCCTTTCCCAGGCCTTGGATGGAAGGACAGGAAACATTTGACCACCATGTCTAGACAGCAAGGCTAGGGAATCCAGGGGGCTGCCCAAGAGCTCATGTGGGGGACAGTCATCAGGAGGGTGACTGTGACCCAGAACAGACCCAGTTTAGGGATTATCATAGGCATTATCCCAGTTTACTTATTAAGCTCACCCCTATTCTCTTCAAAAGTATCCTGGTTTGATTGATAAATTACACAGTCACCTTCAACATCAGGGAATTCTGCAAACAGGAAAGTCTGAGGCGGGAGGCTCACATGGAACAGAGGCTCGTCACTGTACAAATAGCAAGGGCTTAGCAAACGTCCTGGAAAAGGCCTGGCGGCAGGAACAATTCACCAAAGGGAGCTGAGCCTGGCCTTGGCCCTGGTGGGCTCTGCTCTGAAAGTGGAGTTACCTGGGCTGGCGGGGGCAGCCTGGCCCGAGCCTGCTCCACTCACAGCCTCCCCACCCACAAAGAGCCTGCTCATAGGCAGCATTTATCTTCCCCGTTGAGGTCTCAAGCCACAGTTAGCAAGTCCAGCAAAGGGCAGGGGCAGAGAGGAAAGGATTGTGATGTGTTCCCGATACAGGGTCCAGGAGTCCCACCAATCTGTCCTTAGCACACGCCTGTGCTATAATCCCATTCAACAATACCTTGGGTTGCCATGGGGACCCTGGACAATTTCCCATTTGTGTTTTTTTTTTCCTTCCTGGTTGAGATCTTGTTTCTGTCAAGATGAACTATTTATCTGTGTTGCATGATATGTCATGGGTTGTGGTCAAAGCCGGGACCAACCCACGCACAAGAAATAATAACCCTTTGATGACACTCGTACACAAGCTTCCCGAATCTTTAGAGGCGGTCCGTGATTCATTTTCTTCTTCCAGCACTGAACTTGCTCTCGAGAAGTATTTAACCCAAAAGGCAACTGGCAGGCAATACCCCCAGGAGCCTAGGTCTGTCAGAACAATCCATGCTTGAGTTAATTGACCAAGTGACCTGTGGACCTGCGTCCACTCGCCAGAGAGGCTGAGCAAACACTTACAAGGTAAAAGGCAGTGAAATGTTTCACCCTGTGGCCTTACATGAAGTTTAATGAAGCTACAAAATGCTCAAAGTGTCCAGTGTTAAAGGAATCTCTGTTTTGTGAATGAAAACTTCCAAGTTATTATTATTATTTTTTATATTAGCTTAGCCATCATGCAAAACTTATTGGTAAAGCAGTTAATAAAACACACATATCCCATGGGAGGGTTTTGTACATTTTAGTCCTTACAAATAACAAAGCGATGGTAAATCCTGCATGGTCCTGAGAGGAAGTTCCTTTGCTTCTTAACGCTGCCAGTCCTGGCTCTTTGGGGAGCTCATGTGTTATAAATTCTGGAAGCTCTTTTAGCTGCAGTTTGAGCATCAGATGAATCTTCTTCTTCTTCCTCGGTTCGCTTGTGTTTTAAAAACAAGTCAGACTTTAAGAAGCGGCTGTAGCTGTCGTACTTCATGAGATTAAAGATCTAAGGAGGAAAAGAAGAAAGAGTCTGAAGACTGAGGCTAATCCAGGCCATAAATCATCCTATCAAATATGTATTAGATACCTGCCATGTGCCAAAGAATACAAATACGTGCGAAGGATACACTAAGAAGGCTCAAACAAGTCATATGCTAGACAAGGCAGATTTCCTGGATATTTTTAGTCATTATGAAATAATCTCAATGGAATATATAGACAATCACATGAACAAATATGCCTTTATGTTCCACGGAAGTACAGATTCACGCAGCACTGATTCAGAGCCTTGTACCAAGAAGTCCTTCAAGACCCTCCACTTTATTTGCATAGATAACACAAGGATGTATTTCTCCAAGAGCTGAGACAGCCAAATAGAAACCATTTCTGTAGAGGCAGTGGTGTTAAAAAGATCACTGACATATCATATGATGCCAGTATTGTTAAGACTCCCAGTAAGTCTGGCATCCGGGATCTCAAACAAACCTATTATTGTGCCAAGAGTCAAAATGAGGCATACTGACTGCAGGGCAGGGCAGTGAAACTATAATCTTAGCAAGGAAACAGGTCCCAAATAAAGAATAGAGCAGCCGGCTTCAGAATGTCAACATCTGTGCCATCAGACGGGCTAGGGAGCACATCCCTAGAATGAAACAACTCTAAGGTATGTCAGGTGGGTGAAGAGGACCCCCAACAGAGCTGAAGTCCCCCAGATTAGAGGGCTGCCCCCGCCAGCATGGCAGGTGCTCAGATAGCTGTCCCCAGGCACAGTAGCTTCCTCTGGCCTCCACCAAACCTCGCTTCTGGGCCACGATCCCTGTGGCCAGCATTCAATTTCCCCCACTCCTACCCAAACCTGTGCCATCTCCTCCCTTGACCCATGAAAGGGGCAGGGAAAGGAGAAGCCCAAAGCCTTTTCCAGCTGTCAAGGGGCACAATCTCTTTCTCACCCCTTGTCTCTCTCTCTCTCAGACCTTTCTACTTAACTTTCAGAACATTCTGCAACTAAAAATCCACATGGTTCACCCTGGTACATGGCACAAACACAGGCTCAACCAAATGGAAAGTTCTAGAGATGTCAAGAATGTTGCTGACTGCCAGGCGGGGTTGTCAAGTGGGTGGGAAACGCTGACATCTTTTAAGGCTGCCCTCTCCCAGCACACACAAACTATTTTGTAAATTAAACATCTGAGGAAGCTGGGCATGGTGGCTCACACCTGTAATCCTGGCACTCTGGGAGGCAGAGGCAGGCGGATCACTTGAGGTCCGGAGTTCAAGACCAGCCTGGCCAATATAGTGAAACCCCATCTCTACTAAAAATACGAAAATAAGCCAGATGTAGTGGCATGTGCCTGTAATCCCAGCTACTCGGGAGGCTGAGGCAGGATAATTGCTTGAACCCAGGAGGCAGAGGCTGCAGTGAGCTGAGATCGCACTAGTACACTCCAGCCTGGACAACAGAGCAAGACTGTCTCAAAAAGTAAAAATTTAGGGCCGGGCGCGGTGGCTCAAGCCTGTAATCCCAGCACTGTGGGAGGCCGAGGCGGGTGGATCACGAGGTCAAGAGATCGAGACCATCCTGGTCAACATGGTGAAACCCCGTCTCTACTAAAAATACAAAAAATTAGCTGGGCATGGTGGCGTGTGCCTATAATCCCAGCGACTCAGGAGGCTGAGGCAGGAGAATTGCCTGAACCCGGGAGGCGGAGGTTGCGGTGAGCCGAGATCACGCCATTGCACTCCAGCCTGGGTAACAAGAGCGAAACTCCGTCTCAAAAAAAAAAAAAAAAAAGTAAAAATTTAAAAAGGCTGGGTGCAGTGGCTCATGCCTGTAATCCCAGCAGTTTAGGAGGCTGAGGAGGGCAGAGAACCTGAGGTCAGGAGATCGAGACCAGCTTGACCAACAGGGAGAAAGCCCATCTCTACTAAAAATACAAAATTAGCCGGGTGTGGTGGTGCATGCCTGGAATTCCAGCTACTTGGGAGGCTGAGGCAGGACAATCACTTGAAATGGAAGGTGAAGTTTGCAGGGTGAGCTGAGATCGCACCATTGCACTCCAGCCTGGGCAACAAGAGCGAAAGTCCGTCTCAAAAATAAATTAATAAATAAATAAAATAAATAAAAATTAAAAATAAAATAAATAAACATCTGAGGGACTCAAAGGACTCAGAACATCTGCTTGGGGGTGGGAGATGCCTCAGGAGGGAACTGGAATGCTCGCATTTTATACATTCATCTTCCCAAGATGGCTCCAACCACAGCAGAACCACCTGAGTCACTCTGCTAGAGACAGAGCCCACAACCCAGAGAAAGACCTGGGACTTTCGCTTTTCTTTAAACTGTTAAACATTGCCTGGTGCCCTTCTAGTCTTGCCCGAGTCTTCTGGCTACTCAGCAAGACTGAAGCTGCCCCGCAAAGCCCCTGTCCCGTGCCATGCCACGGCGCTCATCCATCTTGTAGCCATCCAGTAATTCCAGGTGTGACTGTAATTTGCTGAGGTTTGGAGAAAAAAAAATTTTTTTTTAATCCCAGCAAATACAAAAATCATGGCCAAGGGTGAGGTGGGCGATGAGAAGTGGCATCACTCTGTCATGGTCCCTGGCAATGTGCTAAGCAGGCGTCATACCTGCGTATTCACCCCTTCCAGGCATGAGAACCCCCACTGGGAACTTTCAGATGCCCACCTAGTTCAAAGTCCAATGAACGCTCAAATGTGACTAATGAAACCAGGTGCACAAGGGTCCCGCCTGGCACCCAGCCTCAGCCCTGTACCCACTCCCACCCCAGGTCCACATAGATGGGACCCACCGCTCTGAGCAGGATGCAGTGTGACCCAAGCTTCTTGTGTGAAGTCTTTACATGTGGGAGAGGAGCATCCTGTTTGCCTGTCGTGGCTCTGAGGCTCAGACTTCAAAGGAGAGAAGAAAAAAGGCCAGTCTGGGGGCACCCAGGGCAGAGGAGGAGGGGGAGGGAAGGAGGCTGCTTCGGCTGGGAGGAAGCTCAGGGCCCTGATATCCCGAGGCTGCCAGCAAGCCTAAGGGGAGGGGGCTTTGAACTAAGAGTGTAAGGGCCACTCCTTGCTGGGGCAGGTGTGAAATGCCCCACAAGTGCAGAAGTCCTTCAGGCAGAGGCTTCCTGCTCTGGGAGCCTTGCCCCTCTCCCACGCTGCTGCAGTGACTGGACAGTAGCCGAGGCTGTTGGACCCAGGCAGGCTGGAGAAAGGAGCGGATATCGCCCCCAAAGCCCTCATGCGCCTGGGCTGTGGGAAGCCTGATTGCTCTGCATGGGGTGCACAGGCAGGCTTCTGACTGCCACCAGCCAAGGACCTCACAGGCCTGGCTCAGGAGACTGCAGCAACAGGGTGCTCCTGGGACAGGGCTCAGCAAAGGTGACTTAGAGGATAGAGAATGCAACTAAGGCCGGGCACAGTGGCTCATGCCTGAAATCTCAGCACTTCGGGAGGCTGAGGCAGGTGGACAGCAAAACCCTGTCTCTACGAAAAATACAAAAAGTAGACCGGACACAGTGGTTCATGCCTATAATCCCAGCACTTTGGGAGGCCGAGGCAGTGGATCACCTGAGGTTGGGAGTTTGAGACCAGCCAGACCAACATGGAGAAACCCTGTCTCTATTAAAAATACAAAATTAGCCAGGTGTGGTGGCACATGCCTGTAATCCCAGCTACTCGGGAGGCTGAGGCAGGAGAATCATTTGAACCCCAAAGGCAGAGGTGGCGGTGAGCCGAGATCACACCACTGCACTCCAGCCTGGGCAATAAGAGCAAAACTCTGTCTCAAAAAAAAAATTAATAAAAATTAGCGCAGCTTGGTGGCACCCACCTGTAGTCCCAGCTACTCGGGAGGCTGAGGTGAGAGGATCACCTAAGCCTGGAAAAGTTGAGGCTGCCGTAAGCTAAGATCACCCCACTGCACTCCATCCTGGGTGACAGAGCCAAACCTTGTCTCAAAAAAAAAAAAAAAAAAAAAGGATAACTCACCTAAAACTTTCTTCCAAGAACACAGCCAGAGATAGTGTGCCCAGCTAGCTGCCAGCCAGAGCCTTACCTATCATAGCAGAAGTAGCTGCGACTGGGGTCCAGTAAATGTTTACCAGCGCGTGGACAGAAACCGCTGGCCGTGCAGCAGCAGAGGCTGGGGAACTGGCTAGTACCAACGCGGCTGCAGTGCCCTCCAGACCTGCGCTGGGCAGCGTGTGGGCGTTCCTTTGTTCAGTCCTCCCTGCAGCGCTATGAGGACCCTGATTTGACAGGGGAGGAGAGGGGCTTAGAGGCTCCTCACAGTTCTGGAGGCTGGAAGTCCCAGGTCAGGTGCCACCAGGGTTGTTTCTCCTGAGGCCGCTTCTCCTTAGCTTGTAGACCACACCTTCTTCCTGCGTCTTCATGGGGTCTCCCCCGTGCATGTGTGTCCTCACCTCCTCTTCTTTTGTTTGTTTTGGATTTTGGGGTTATTTTTGTTTTTGTTTTTGTTTTTTTTAGAGATAGAGTCTGGCTCTGCCGCCCCGGCTGGAGCACAATGGCACGATCTTGGCTCACTGCAACCTCTGTCCCCCGGATTCAAGCGATTCTCCTGCCTCAGCCTCCTGAATAGCTGGAATTACAGGCACTCGATGCTACGCCTAATTTTTTGTATTTAGAGTCGGGGTTTCACCATGTTGGTCAGATTGGTCTTTAACTCCCTACCTCAGGTGATCTGCTCACCTTGCCCTCCCAAAGTGCTGGCATTACAGGTGAGAGCCACCACACCCGGCCTACCTCAGGGAAAAAAACAGGGTGGCCTAGGGGTCCCCTTCTTCTTGTAAGGACACTAGCCAGATTGGATTAGGGCCCACCTCAATGTCCTCGTTTAATGTTAATTACCCCTTTAAAGGCCTGTCTCTAAATAAAGTCACATTCTGGGGATTAGGACTTCAACATATGGATTAGGGAGAGGAAGTTCAGCATACAACAGTGAGCAAAACAGACGGGCGGGAGGCCAGCCCTGGCAGG